GACTTCATTCTTTTAGATTAAAACTCATCTAAGTTCAACTAAAATTAGATGTAAATTTAAGTTTAACTTAAATTTAGTTTAACTACATAAATAAACTTTTCTTATTTTAATTTAGCTAAAAATCAAAAGGAGAAAAATTTATTGAAACGAAGGAAGTAGTATAGAATGCTAATTGTATCAATAAGATACTTTTAATAATTCATAATACGCAGTACAATTTTTAATAAACTTATTGTTAATAATTTTTTTTAAAAATATTGTTGATCAAATGTTTAATACAAATATTATTGATCAAATTCTTAGATCTATAATTTTCTATTGATCAAATCTTTAAGACAAATATAAATGATCAAATGCTTAGATCTTTAAGTTTTTACTTTTTAACTCTATTAATCTTAATCCAATAAAAGTTAAATTTTGAAGGCTTCAATTATGCCAACTAGGGTTTGGGAGACAAAGGAGAGAAAAGAGGAGTGGGGACCCATGTTTCCACCGCCCATGCGCACTCTGTCATCCCAAAAAATAATAAATAAATAAAATATATACTCCATTCATCTTAAATCTTAATCGAAATATTAATAGTTAAAATATTGTATTAAAAATATATGATTCCGAAAAAAAATCAAATGAAAAAGATATTTCCTCCGTCCCAAAAGGGTTTTTTCTATTTAATTTTTTGTGCATTTCATAAAACACTTCTACCGACATCTAAAATGTCTAAAATTTACAACATTTATTCTTTATTATGAGTAGAAGTTATTTTGAAAGTTTTTTTGACAATCAAGGCGCGATAGAAGTGTTTGGTGGGATGCGCGAAAGAGGACTCAAACCATTTAACACCGTTTCCAGATCCGATCCATCTCTTCGATCTTCTTTATCTCTGTCTTAGCTCAGCTTAGTGAAGTCTTTTGATCATCAAAATATCCATTTTCTTGATCTGTTTTTTACCCATAAAATTCACTCAAATAAATTAAATTTGGCTAATAGCCCTAACCCAAACCCCTACCGACATTTCAGCTCCCTCACTATTCACCCCTTTCGTCTGACCTTCCTTTCTCGTTAAGATTAGATCCGACCCGACAAACCCCACTGATCTATAAAGAAGCTATGCCAGAAATGGGAAGTCTTTGGGGTTCTTGATTTCCCGGCGAGAAAAAGGGGGTTCTTTTTTGGAATTCTTGATTTTCCGGCGAGAAAAGAGAGTTCTTTTTGGAATTCTCGATTTCCCGGCGAGAAAAAGGGAGTTCTTTTTGGGATTCTCGATTCTCCGGCGAGAAAAAGGGAGTTCTCTTTGGAATTCTTGATTTTCCGGGGAGAAAAAGGGAGTTCTCTTTGGAATTCTTGATTTCCCGGCGAGAAAAGAGAGTTCTTTTTGAAATTCTCGATTTCCCGGCGAGAAAAGGGAGTTCTTTTTGGAATTCTCGATTTCCCGGCGAGAAAAGGGAGTTCTTTTTGGAATTCTCGATTTCCCGGCGAGAAAAGGGAGTTCTTTTTTAGATTCTTGATTTCCCGGCGAGAAATGGGAATTCTTTGTGAGATTCTTTATTTTCCGGCGAGAAATGGGAATTCTTTGTGAGATTCTTTATTTTCCGGCGAGACAGACTGTTTAGTTAGCTGAAAGCTTGATTGTATGCTCTTGTGGATCGCCTGAACTTTATATGGATCCGCTAAGTACCCAACATGGCCGCCGCGCTTTGCCGCCGCCTTTTTTTAACAGTAGAGGTTTCCAGCAGCAGTTCCACCACCAGTTGCTGCCCGGACCCGACGGCGGCGACGAGAGAACAGATATCGATGACTTCACTGCCACGTCAACAACTAATAGGAACGCTAGTTCTAGAGATTTTGATGACAAGCAGGGTTTGGTGCTGTCCAGCGGAGATCAACCCGGTGCCGGGAGGAAGCCGAGGGGACGGCCGGCGGGGTCGAAGAACAAGCCGAAGCCGCCGATCATCATCACGCGCGACAGCGCCAACGCGCTCCGGTCCCACGTGATGGAAGTGACGAGCGGATGCGACATCCACGAGAGCATCTCCGCCTTCGCCACGCGGCGGCAGAGAGGCGTCAGCATTCTGAGCGGCAGCGGGGCCGTCACCAACGTCACCCTCCGTCAACCGGCGGTTGCCTCTCCGGGCGGTTCCGTCCTCACCCTGCATGGGAGGTTTGAGATTCTTTCCCTCTCAGGTTCTTATCTACCCCCGCCCGCTCCTCCCGCTGCTTCCGGACTAACCATATACCTAGCCGGAGGCCAAGGTCAGGTCGTGGGCGGGAGCGTCGTGGGGCCTCTGATGGCCTCCGGTCCGGTAACCATCGTTGCCGCATCTTTTGGGAATGCGGCATACGAGAGGCTTCCCATAGAAGATGATGAATGCCCGGTATCGGGAAGCGAAGAAATAGGCGGCGGGATGGTTCATCAGCATCCGCCACCACCGGAGCAGATGGTTTCCTCAGAAACCGCCATACTCCAAGGTTTGCCTACCAACCTTATAAATTTGCCGGCTGAGGCTTATTGGGGTGGCGGCCGGGGTAATGTTCGGTCTCCTTATTGATAAAATTTGGGTGTAATGTTCTTTGTTAAGGCAATTAATATTATTATTATTACTCTCACCATTATGGATATAATTCGAGTAATTAAATGGCTCCTTTTTTTGTTTTCAATAAAATTTTCCCAAATCCTCTTGTGAGTATAATTAATTAATAAGTAGAGTAATTTACTTAAATATGACTAAAACATAATGACTTTCCCAATATAAGATCATATGTTTTTATTTCCATAAGACTTTTGGTCATTATGAATTAGTCATTATTTAAGTAAACGTCCATCATTACAGGACATTATTTCACCCACTAAGACATTAATAAGTCCTATTTAGGAAATAAAAAAATTTAAGTCCTATTTAGGAAATAAAAAAATTTGAGATCGACCATCTCGATCTCATTCACTTTAGATTAATCATCTTGATACAGTAAAAAATGAATGAATGTGAATATACAACATGTCCATATTCTTTCATTTTTTAATGTATTAAAAAAATTATAATGAGAAGGGAGAGAGCTTTGAAGCCGGATGAAATTCTAGTAAGCTGCGTATTCTAGTAAGCCAGACGAGATTCTAAGACAGGATACGTGAAGTGTTGCTTCAATCGATCCATTAAATCACAATGACTAATAAAGACGTGTTCTACTACTTAGCGAGGGTATTGAACGAAGAGGTTGCATTCCCAGGGGTTTGAGGTAGGGGAAGTGAGAATGGATAGAGGTAGACGTAGGACGAGTTAGAAATGAGGTGATGATATATTATTAGATCGAACTTAAGACTTCAAAAACCTATCAAGATTGTGATTATAAATATCAATGTTTGGAGATCTAAAATTAGAATAATTGGATAGATCTTTATGCAGTGTTCGAACTATATATGTGGGGAGCTTAGGATCATTGCAAGTGTAGGACATCACGCGCTACAAGCTCTCTAAAAACTAATTGGTGTTAGAAAATGTGCATACTCTAGCCTATAGTCCACTCAGCAAGGCACAAGCGTCCACGACATTCGAGTATGACTTAACCCATATAATTAATCTCTGCCACAAGACAATTGATGCACACATGACGACACAAATTAAATTTTTGTTATTATTGGATCGATGTCTCTATGAAAATGCGTATCTATGAGATAGTTGGAGTAAAAGGTACTCCGTAAAATGGTAGTATGAAAATTGAGGTGGTGACTTGAAGATTTATCAAAAACATGTTACCAAATCAAATCCAAAAATATCTTTGCAGCCACTTGGCCGCTGCAATTCTTCATCATGATTACATGTAATGCAAGACATGGGAGTACATGTATTTGTGGGGGCGCATATATGTGTGTGTGTGTGTGTGTATATATATATATATCGACCATGTGAGTTAATTATAGTTCAGGTATGGGATTCCGTGATAGATGCTCTTTACTGGTATGAGATGGAATTTTACTGGTATTTATATCGTACTTGTAGTTCAGTTCGATACGTTAAAAATATGTTAAAACAATCTCTATTTTATACTCCCTCCGTTATCAAAAACACTTTTTCTTTTATTTTTTTCCTTCCAACAAAACACTTCCACTTTCTATTAAAAAACCACTTTTACCCTTACTTTTTCATACCCTACCTATCACATCATACTTTATCTCTAATAATCTATCCATCACATCTTACTTTTACCTATCACATCAAGGGCAAAATTGGAAGTCAACTACAATTTAATACTTCCTTATTTTTATACAAAGTCAAAAGAGAAACACTTTTTCCAAACGGAGGGAGTATTAATTTTTAAATAAAATAAATTATATATATTGTTGGGGATTCCTCCAAGTCCCACACCGGAGGGAGAAGAAAAAATGGACCAAAATATATAGGTTCACCCAACCCCATTAGTATGAGACCTTTTGGGATGTGCCCAAAAACAAATCCATGGGGGCTTGACCCAAAGCGGACAATATCATACTAATGCGGGGTTGGGGTGAGGGCACGCGCAGTCCCAACATGTGGTATCAAAGCCAGGTTCTTGCGGGCGGGAGTAGCGGATTGTGCAGTGTGGAAAAAATCTCGGTGTGACGGTGTAACTAGGACCAAGACCAAGAAAGAGGATCTGCAGGTGGTGCCTTGTGTCGAAAGTCTTCCCGACGAGAGGAGGTCGGGCGGCGCGTCCCGTGAAGTTATAGCCACGGCGGTACAAGATGATTTGGCGGATCAAATGGTGTAGCCCAGCGAAGAAAAGATCTGCGGTTCGAGCCTTGCGTCGAAAGTCTTCCCGACAGGAGGTCGGGCGGCGTGTCCCGCAAAGAGTGTGCGGCGGTGCAAGATGGTTAGCAGATAAAAGGAAAAATGGATTACCGCTGGAGGGGAGGTCGGAAATTGTGTGGTCCTTGGTTGAGGGGAGGTTTGTTGGGGATTCCTCCAAGTCCCACACCAGAGGGAGAAGAAAAAATGGACCAAAATATATAGGTTCACCCAACCCCATTAGTATGAGGCCTTTTGGGATGTGCCCAAAAACAAATCCGTGAGGGATTGACCCAGAGCGGACAATATCATACTAATGTGGGGTTGGGGTGAGGGCACGCGCAGTCCCAACATATATAAATTTCAAATTTACTCCATTACGAAAGGAGTATTGATTTCGTACATACATTATACTCCCTCCGTCCCAAAAAGATTTACACCTTTCAAAAATATTGCGTCTCACAATCTCCTATCCATTTCTATTAAAAAACCATTTTTACCCCTTATTTTTTCAAACCCTACCTATCACATTATACCTTTTTTCCTAATAATCTACACATCACATTCTACTTTTACCCATCACATCAAGAGTATTTTTGGAAAGTCAACACAAAATTATTGCTCCCTTAATTTCAACTTTAATCAAAATGTGTAAATCTTTTTGGGACGGAGGTAATATTAAACACTGGTAGCAATGGAGAAATAGACCAAACTAGGAGTAAAACGTAAAAAATATGCCAAAATAAGAGTTTCAAGTTTTTATTTCTAAAATTGGAATTAAAATGTAAACACATTAATGCCAAATATGTCAATATATAATACCAAAATGTATTACTCTCTCTGTCCACTATAGATCTTTCCAGATACTATTCACATGGTCAAACTTTACTCACTTTGTTTGCTCAATTTTACTAGTCATTTCATAAAATAATATAGTTTTGTCACCTCTAGTTTTGTAGAACTTTTCATGTAGTTTATTACTATATAAATTTTATTTTAAAATTTTACTCCTATAATCAATTAAATTGAATTGAAAATAAAGTCGGTCAAGCCTCATAACGCGTAATGGGAAGATCATACATGGACGGAGGGAGTATTAAATATCTATTTTGTATAGGTTTCATTTTCGTTTTGTTTTTTTAAATGTTAAACGCTGAGGTGTATATCAATTCTCAATTTTAACCACACATTAATTCACCCTCTTGGACACATTTGCAGACATCTAGAATCCCCCAATCATAATTTTTTTATCATAATTTTTTTATATTGTACTTCTTCCGTCCAAAAAAGAATATCACACCTCAGTATTCAAAAATTTCAGAATTTTTTATTTATTTTCATGTTCTTATTTATTATTTGATAAAATAGAATACTCCGTATTGTTTTCATTTCTTGTTTTGAATATTTTTTACGTGGTTTTTAAATACTCCCTCAGTTTTGAAATTGTTTAGTCAAACAATGACACTCTTTGAACACAACTTAAATATAATCTAAATAAATAAATGACATAAAGATTTAATACATCAAAATTATATTCTAGGATCAATCCAATTATATTAAATTTAATTTATATGATAATTAAGTATACTTTCTCACAATTTGTAGTCAACGTGTGTAACTGTTTAACCAAAAAAATCAAAACATGAAAGATCTTTTGGACCAAAGAGAAGGCCAAATAGTGTCATTACCTCCCGTGGTTTGTAAAATAGACACTAATACCCTCATTTTTAAAATTTATTTCTAAAGTCCTTGTGGTTTCAAAACGTTGCACCTGTGCCTCCTCAAATCATTTTCTGGCCATTTTTTCGGCAAAGAAAGGACGCGTTGATGCATATTTTCTAAACGATAGGGGGTACTAGCGCTGAATTTTTATTTCTCGCTTATTTTTTGTTTTTTCCATTTTTTCTTTTATTTGTTTTATTTATTAATTAATGTTTTTTAAAATTATTTTTATAATGTTCTTAAAATTTAAAGTTATTCATTTTGAAAAAAAATTAACATATAATGTACATGTACGTTTCAAATTAACAATTTTTTGTTTTTCCGAAAAAAGTAAATTTTTTTCAGAACTTCAAAAAAATTAGGAATAAAATGAGAAAAAAAATAATACAAAAATAAAAATGAATATCCTTTTTGCGTATTTTAAGTTTTTCATTTCGTTTTTTCATATTTTTATTTTCTTATATGGGTTTTCTTTTTGAACTTTCCAAAAATTATTCTATGTAAAAAAAGTAAAAATGTTTGATTTGAGATAGATGTAATGTATGTTAATTTTTTTTATTTGTATTTCAAAAAAAAAAATTAAAATTTTTTAGAACATTATAAAAAATTGAGATAGAAAATATTTTTAAAAAGGGAAAAACACAAATAATAAATGGAAAATAAGAAATGAGCACGAGTGCCCCCTATGGTATAGAAATTATGCGACGATGCCCCATCTTCGCCAGAATATGATCAGAAAATAATCAGAGAAGGTGTGTGTGCAACATTTTGAAACTAAATAAATTTTAGAAATATATTTTGAAAAACAAAGGAGAAATTAGTAGTAATTTTCCAAAGCACATGGGACACGGAGCGATTTGGCCCCAAAGAGAATATAAGTTCTATTTTTTTTATTTCTATTCAAATGTTTAAATAAATAAATTAAAAAAAAGTAAAATTTCATTTGCTGTAGTACTATATTACATTCTTTTTGGAACGAGTAGAACTTAGGGCAACTCCAATGCACATTTCATGTGCTAAAAAAATAGATGGTATACCTTTTACTGTTGTTAAAAGAGAGCTCCAACGCACCCTCCAAAAATTGAATTATCCTCTATAATTGCTTTTTCATCTTTCAATTATAAAAGGTACTGTGCAGTCTTCTATATTTTTTGAGGTTCGCTTCTGAGATCTTTGCACGGTGAAGATGGAAGCAAAAGTGAAGCCTGAGTTTGTTGCATGTACTCTCATGACACTCTTCCCAGCTGATTCCCTAGGTTGTCATCATCATCTTGATTTGTTTGTTTTCTTTCTAATTTTTGGTGTTTTGCAATCGCCTCAACCAGATTATCCAACATCCGAGTTTCTTTCTTCCGTGGGATTGTAATTCAAGGCCAAATTTGAATAAATTTTTTCATATTTCTCACTATTAAGATTTAAACTAATAAAGTATTTTAAAAACTATTATAAAAATATAAAAAATAGATTATACGATTGGAGTGGTGGTAAAAAAATGAAGTGCTAAATCACTATTTGAAAGCTACAATAGCATTTAGCTTCCCAAAATTTAGACTATGCATTGGAGATGCTCTTATAAGCAAATTAATTGAAGAGGTCATCATGTCATAAATTTGTTTTGCTATTTTAGCCATTTAGGGATATTTAATGAAGGAGAGGAATGTAACGTCCGGTCCGGCCCGGTCCGGTGGTCAGTGGGCGGGCTGCTCTTTTCCGAGGCAAACTTTACACGCACTCCACTGCGTGCCTCTGTCCCCTTTTCCGTCAGCCCTTTAACTAACTCTTTACTATTTGTCGGTCGAATCCAACACTTTTTCTCTCTCGTAACTCCAGTCTTTATTTTTAAATGCTACTTCCTCCGTCCCAAATTATTTGTCACATTTCTATTACCGAGATAAAATATTAAATTTTTTCAATTCATTTTATTTCCATATTGGTAAAAGAATAAAAAATAAAAATTACATATCAAAAAACTACATGAAAAGTTCTTTGAAATAAGAGGTGTCAAGAATATTTTATTTTATCAAATAACCAATGAAAACGTCGAAATAAACAAAAGTTCCCGTGACTGCTGAAAAAACAAATGTTGTGAATATTTAGGGACGGAGGGAGTAAAAATTAGATAAATACTTTCCCAGTTCTCAAAAACACTTCCTCTTTCATTTTTTCCATTTCCAACAAAACACTTCCACTTTCTATTAAAAAACCACTTTTACCCTTACTTTTTTATACCCTACCTATCACATCTTACTTTTTCTGTAATAATAAATATATCACATCTTACTTTTACTCATCACATCAGGGACAAAATTGGAAGTCAATTATAATTTTACACTTTCTTATTTTGCCTTAAAGTCAAAGTAGGAAGACTTTTTCCAAACGGAAGGAGTAATATTTTTAAATATTGAAATCGTTACAATACTTGTCAATTTCTTGTTTGTCTGTCTGTAAATAACTTTTTCTCTATCTATTTTTACTCCTTCCGTCCACAAATAAACTTTCCGTTGCATGTTACGATATTTGACTAAAATTATTTTCAAATCATTTTATATGGAAAATGATGTAAAATTTAGAAATAAAAATTACATATTAAAAAACTAAATCAAAATATCTACAAAACTAGAGGTGACATGACTATATTATTTTATCAAATGGGTGATGAAAATATGCTGACAAAGTGAATAAAGTTTGATCCTGTAAATAGTAATCGAAAAGTTTATTTATGGACGGAGGGAGTAATATTTATAATATCAAGGTGAGAAATTTTTTATGAAATAAAATGGGCATATTTCAACCATATAATTTCATATGGAGTGTTTTCCTAAGTTTCGTACAGAGACTCTAAGGTCGGTGTTCCCAACCCATCTGCAGACTCTACTTTCGTGACTCTGTTGAATTTTTTTCCGTACAAAGGTAAACGAGAACTTGTTTCTTGATTATCACATGGATGAAATACATAGATCTCCACTTCAAAAATACAATCATATTAGGCTCATTTAATTTAAATAAAATCAATTAAAGATGAACAAAGTGAAGATGAAAGGCAAGGTCACTAATCACTCTTGCTATATTGTACTCCTTCCGTTCCTATTTAAGTTTCATCTTCACTATTCGCAAAGTCAAACTTTAACTGACATCCCTAGTTTTGTAAAACTTTAGACTTAGTTTTTTAATATAAATTTTATTTTTAAATTTTACTTCAACAGGGAGATAAGAACCGTCAATTTTACGAATAGAGCACCGAAGCGTTCCCAGATCATATCATGACAATGTCATAGGAACCCCATCACATAAAATATTTCCCCTGATTAGTGTTAGCAATCCATTAGTTACTGGAATCTGAATAACCGAAACATAAAGCTGAAAAGAACACACAACTGGAAACGAGTTGGAGACAAATGTTGAAGATTTAATATCTTTACATACATTCATCGGATCATAATATAGTATATGTTACAACACAGAAAGAATTCATATTCAAGATGTCATCAAAAGTAGTATTAACTTCAACCAACAAGAAATAAATACTAATCGATATGAACAAATAAGATCTTGATCTGTGTTACAGACACCCGCTTTCTAATACCTACCGGTTAGTCAAATTTGGCAAACACAAATTGATGGATGATGACGACGACGATGATGATGAGGATACCTTCTGACTCTGGGTACTTTGAGAAGAAGAAAAGGTGTCGCGTGCGGTTGTTTGTCTACGCATCTATATGTAAGCGCCGCATTTCAGACAGAAAAGTTGGGCTTGAAGCCAATGTTTGGCGCGCGAGTGCCTTTATGTCCTCGCGTGTGCAGTCACGCGAGATGCGATATAGCTCCCACAGGGCTCCCCCACTGATCATGTCTTTCGCATTTACTTCTGTTGGTTGGGGAAAGAATATTTTTGAAAAAATATTTTTATTAAAAAAGATGATTTTTTTAAGAGGATGGGGAGAAAAAACAAACATAGTAGGGTGTGATTATTATAGTACCGTGTTGTGCGAGGTGGCAGAGTGCGAGCTCAACATGCCGTCTAATGAGTGAGGCTTCGTTATTCACGTTCTGTACAATCCACGGTAGGGCTCCATCTTCTATCAGAAGGGACCGTCCAAGTTTTATGCCTGCAAGAATAACAATGGCCTATCAAACTCTCAACCATTGAGAAATTATGAAACCAACAATAATAAACCCAACAGAATCCCACCAAAGTAGGGTCTAGGACCTTGAGAGTTTTACTCACCTTGGGAAGAAGCTCGGGACTCACACTTGGCGAAATTGGCAACCCCACGCGCAACTTGGGAAAGAACATCAGGATGTCTACACCTCACCATACCTAACAAAGCCCTTATACCACCTTCAGACCATAGCCTCATCTGCAGTTTATCTGATGAAACAAAGCATGACTGAAATCATAAATGCCAAATTGTGTTGCCATAAAAATTATCTCCCATTTTCTTTAGAACTGTAAACATGTTGCACATTTTTCACTCACGAGGGATCATATACTTACTGATTGAAGGTTTAATTACGTTTTTCATCCTTGAACATATAGCATTTTTTAGGTACCTCAAAAAATTGTAGTCATCTCAGTATTTTACGGTGTTCTCTTTTTAGTCAATGACTTGAAGAACTCCAGTTTGTCCTTTGTGCGTGTTTTAAAAGTAATACTTAATATGGAAAGTGGAAACGGTGTGGAAAGAGCTTGAATGATGTGGAAATAAAGTCTTATGAAGTATGCTTTATAAAAAAATCATGGAAAGGCCAGATTGCCATCATCTATGAGCCACAGGTGTTTCTAGATTTAAAAAACACGATTTTCGCCGAGCTTAAAGAATATTTAAGCCAAGATTAAATAATAACACAACATTGGGAGACACTCAAAGACACCGCTTTAAGATATTTTAGGACACTTGTAAAAGAAAAGAAGCATACCATTTCCACAGAGATTTGCAATTGCTCCAGCAACCATGCGTAGAGTCTGAGGATCCTCAGCTTCAGCTGCTGTCATTGACAAAAGACTAATCCCACTAAGAACCATAATAAGCTCCTGGTTCGCTTCTGCACATGAGTGGGACATAACATCATTCAGAAGATGGAAGAAAACAGAAAAGTACTACTCCAAAGCTCAAGGTCACAAGCAGCCAAAAAATGTCTCACCATTCATTGCAAGATTTGCAATTGCACCAGCAGCTATTCTACGTATAGTTTCATCCTCGGATTTTCGAAGAAGCATCAGTAGTGAAGTAAGACCACCAGCTTCAACTATTTTCTCCTGATTCGCTTCTAAGAATGCAGAAAGCCCCATGGCAGAATACCACAATCAGAAAGCAGTTAGGAATTCTGTGATTTGTGGTAAGCTATGTCATTTATTTTTCTAGACTAGACGGTTAAACAGTATATCTTTGTTCACACCCAGCATCGCATATTTCACAAATCGCACCCAAAATATAGTTTTTATCAATGATTCAATGCACAATATAAAGTGACATTAAAGTATTCTTTTTAATGTTTTGTTCGTGTAGGAGTGGTAAGATGCAGAGAAAAATCACCTTCTGCTGCTAGGTTGGCAACCACTTTCACTGCATGAATTTGCACACTAGCATCTTCAGAGTCGAGCAATGACATTATCTTATTTAGGCCAACTGTTGTTCGATTAAAAGGGAATGAGTATAACAGTTTTTATAGGAAGTACATGTGAAATACGAGTTAAATACAATTATAATGGAACCTTGTTCGTGAAGATTGGTTATTGCCACTCTCTCCCCATTATTGCCATTTTTGGGCTGCAGATGTCTAAGTGAAGAAAGAGATTCCAGGCCAGGAAGTAAATTTCCATTTCTTCCTCTATCATCATAGCTTCTAGTCTAAGAACATGATCACACATTTAACTTCTTCAGTAAGCAGAATAAACGAAATTGAGAAAACAGCATTCTCCAAATTCTTGAATTGAGACTGCATCGATAGCAAGTATTCTAGGATCAAGGAACTAGCTAGTGATGGGGGGGGGGGGGGATACCTGACTAGCTTCCAAATTCAATTGAGACAATTGACTTCTTAAGATGGTCACTTCCTCTTCCAATTTCTTCTTTTCACCAGCCTCTTCTTCCAATAGCTTTTGAAGGTACAGAGTATCAGTATTTCCATCTGGTAACTATGCAATTATTCATTCATCAGTTCAACCCTAGGATTCATTTTTAAGCAATTCTTTATGAAATAAAACTCTTCACGCA